GCTGATGATCTGAGTTTGATCCCTGGACTCCAAGTGGTAGAAGAGAACCAGCTCCTGCAAGTTGTCCTCTGACCTCCACCTGCATGTGCACTCTGCACACACACATATACACAAAGTAATCATTAACATGAGGACTGGAGAGATGACTCAGAGGCCTAGTTCAATTCCCTACAGCCACATGGTGGCTCACAACCATCTCTGATGAAATCGGTGTCCTCTTCTGGCATTCAGGCATAGGCAGAACACTGTGTACATAATAAGTAAGTAAATAAATAAACAGATAAATAAATCTTAAAAGAAATAATTAAAATGATTTAAAAAATATATTAGAAAAAGAAATAGTAAGTTGTACTTGGTAGTGTTTTGTCTTCTTTTTTTCCCTGTAATTTCATCAGAAACCATTAGTATGTCATTTTAGCTCATTAAGAAATACATTTCTTGAGAGCTTGTTTGGAGTGTAGCTACTCTGTATTTGCTTGTCCAAAGACCCATCTCCCTCTGTTCGGGAAAGGTTGTCCTCTTTACCCGAGAGCTTCCAAAGGGATGCACATAGAGCGGTGGTGGAGGAAGGGGACAGGCGCCTAGCCAGCCATATCAACCGAATCACCTCTGGCGATCAATGGGGGTGACAGATGTCACAGCCAGATCACCCTTACATCATTCTTGCTGGCCAGTGGTGACACACACCTTTAATCTCAGCATTCGGAAGGCAGAGGCCAACAGATTTTTATGAGTTTGAGGCCAGCCTGGTTTACAGAGCTAGTTCCAGGAGAGCTAGGGCTGTTACACAGAGAAACCTTGTCTCAAAAAACAAAAAAATAAATAAATAAAAATAAAAAATAAAAATAAATACATTTCTTTTAATGTTCTTTTAGGCTCTGTGCGCATTAGTATTTTATTATTTAAATAGTGGGAAATTAATATTTTTGGAATATTAGACAGTGTTTATGCATTTGGATTATAACAGTTCATCTGTTCTTGGGATGAATATCAGATTATACACCATAGATTTTATAACTTAATATTGCTGTGATAGCTTTCCACTAATGAAGATGAATAAGAAAAGGGAGTTTTGAAAATGATTTACAGGTTTTAAGAATAGAACAACACATAAGCAAGTTCCTTCTATTCGTAATCAACTCATCTGTACCCAAGGCAATAACAAAACAGCTTGATTTTTCCGTATTCCTTAATGATATCCTGATTTTCTGCACATTTAATATTTCATTTTTTATTTAGTACCAGAGATTAAAGAATTAAAACTCTAGCTGTGCACAGTTTCCTAACTCACTACAAATTTTGCATTTCATTTCACTACCACAGCCAAACCACTAACACTTCTAGAATATTTCAGCAGCAATTTAAAAAAAGAAGGTAAATTGGTCTAGAATTGTGTTTTAGAAGTAAGTATGCATTCAAACGTTTTTACTAAAAAAAAATCCAATTATATTTGCTTTTAGTATATCTGAACTAAATGTGAAATGTAATGGATTTTTTTTTCTCTTAAATCACCTTTCTGTCAATCTGATCTAACCTATTCTTCTGAAGGTTTGCAATTAGATTGGGGGAGAGGGAAAAGGTGAATCTCAAAAGCATGATTGGCTTGTGACTGACTGTATCCTTGACCCAAGTCCTGTCACTGACTTTGTAACAGAAATGCAGATCTTGTTGAGCTCTGTGAGTTGTTGAACAAGAGTAGAGCCTGCCCCTTGGCATCATGTGTACCTTGGCTTGTGATGCCTGGCATCCTTCATATCTTTGACACATACGTGCCTGTGAAGTTTTACAATGGATTATTTATTGACAGAGCACTAGAGAGCTGTGAAGTTACATTCATTTTAATTGAGAACTCACTTAAAGCCTTCTAATTTTAATGAAAGTTCAAGGTAAGTTTTGCAACAAAAAAGTGTATAGAACCTCTTTATAGAGATATGACTGGTTCAGTGTGTAAATAGTAGACGCTTAGTAATAAAGCTGCAGTGGCCCTAAGGAGGAAGGCTGTATGAGCTATTTCGCAGCTTCCGCTTTCCTTATTTATCAGTGATCTTGACAAATCAAAACTCAAAAGAATTTTATTTATTTAATAATTTAGTAAAGGATGCCATGGCATCAATGTTTGTCCTTTATTCCATGTTTGCAGGTTGACTCGCAGACATTTTACATTTTTCTAGTTTGGAGTAAGAGATAAACTCTTAAAAATAGTTACCTCAAAGTCTAGGTCAGGCTGAAATGAACTGTCAGCCACTCTTGGGTTTACAGATTGTCCTACATATAACCCTTGTTCTGTCAACATGGTTTTCTCTTCTCATCCTCACACAATTCTCTTTATTTCAAGTACAATGTAGGATAGTTCTGGTGCCAGGAGCAGAGTGATACTTGGTTCTGGGCCAGTCCTGCCCAGGAATGAGCCTTTATGGCCCTCTACAGAGTCAAGGCTGAGGTGTCCCCCTCTACTGGAGTCCAGTCACTGCTGTTTTATCCATGTTAGGATGTTAATACAGTACACATGTCTAATTTTCAGTATATGTTTATATAGATGCAAATTCCTTCTTGGTAGGTTTTAGGATAGCAGTGATTGAGGATATCTATGTTGGTATCCAAAACTACTTTAAAGTAGGATTTTGACCTGTAACTCTTATTTTATTATTATTGTTTTTTTTAATTGTTCTTACTTCCTGTTGCTTTCTCAGTGATGAAACTGAGGTCATTGAGTGAAATAATCTTAAAGACAAATGGAAAATCGTCTGAAGATTTTGTTTTTATAGTGAAGATAACTTATTATAAGATCCATCTTGAGAGTTTTTTCAGGCTTTTGATAGACTCTTTAAGCTTATTATTTTTAATGTCCTTAATCAGAATATAATTATTATCAATTCCTCCCTCCCTTTCTTTCCTCCAGCCCCTCCCAATCACCCTCCTCCAAATCCCTCCAATGGCTCCCACTCTCAAGTTGACAGTCTCATTTGCTCTTATCTGTGTGCGTGCATGAAGAGATATAAATAGAACCTGCTGAGTCAAGTCTGTTTTTGTTGTTTGTGTGTGTGTGGTTTCAAAGCTGACCACTGTGCATTGGTCCATCCATAAGGAGACTCATCCCTAGGAGGGGCTGGTTGTCCTCTCAGCAGGCAATAGTTGTCTATAAATCTTTGTTTCTGGAGGGATCTCACAAAATTTCCCTCTTCCATGTTAGCTGTCCTGTATAGTACTGATGCTCCTGTTCCTGTGTTTCACAGCAGTACTTCTTCCGTGCTATTCCCCGAGCAATAGTTGCAGGAACTCCTCCCTATCATCTTTGGGTCTCTGCTTTGGTCCAGTTGTGGTTTTCTGCAGAGGTCTTCATTTGCTATAAAGAGAAGCTTCTCTGAATGAGAAATAATAGTTATAACTATTATTATAGTTATAATATAAGGATAAGACTTGAAACATAGTAAGGAATTATGTTTGTCTAGCAAAGTAGCGGTACGACCTCACTAACCATAGAAAGCTGGCTAGGTTTCCAATACCAGCATGATGTCCCTCCTGGTGAATGCGCCATAAGTCTAATTAGACAGCTGTTTATTGACACCTGTATGCATATCCTGCTATGCTGGTATTTGTCATGGTTCCTAGGTGCTGTAGCTGGATAGGACTGTTTAATTGTTTCTATCTCTTGGCAGTTTGCATAGCATTTTTTGGAACCATGAAAGCTATACTGGAGGGAACAAGATTTCAGGTCAGATTAGCATGAATTGTCTGAGTCTTGTATCCAATGTGTGCAGCGTCTTCAGCAGTAGGGCCCAGCCCCCGAGAGGAAACCAAGTGCTTCCTTGGTAATCTACACTGCTTTGGAAGTCACTTGGACCATCTTGACCAGCTCTTCAATAGGAGGTTTCTTGTGTCTAGTACAGGGGTTTTGGTTAGTTTGTGGTTTCAGGGGGAACATTGTCAGCACAAGTGGCTGAACTTCCTCCTATACATGTATACATGTATACATATATGACACATATATGTATGTACTGTATCCAATTTTAGGTAAACATAAAATAATGTGATTCCTTGAAGCTTAATCAAGGAACATTGGTATTATTTGTCCCTCAACACTCATTCTCCATTTGTATTAACCTCCCTCTCTCCTCCCCAGTTGGAGACCCTTCCCTGTTGTTCCATTTCTTACTGCTTACCACTTATACCCAGCTGTTCTCTACCAAGGGCCTCCCCTGCCTGAGGTCTCTTTATACTCTTCCGGTGTCTGTGCTTACTACATACTTACACATATTGTGTGCTCAGATCTGAGGGGCTGAGGCTAGGAACTACTGACGAGAGAACATGTGGCATTTGTCTTTCTGGGTCTGGGTTACCCTATTTTTAGTATTTATTTTAATGGGTCCTGCTGAGCCCCTGCTGTGTGGCTGGCTGAGGAAAGTGCTATGAACAAATGCATTGTACCATTGGCATCTAACAGACCATATAAGCAACTGGCAAAGTGAGCAGGCATGTTAAATGCTCAGTTCAGACTGGACTGAACTTACTCATTGCTTAAAAAATCTTCAGAAGGAAGGAAGGAGGGAGCGAGGTAGGGAGAGAAGGAAGGAAGGAAGGAAGGATGGATTTCTTAAAATACAGAAAGCTAACTTTTCTTTTTCTGTTGGGTTGTGTGTGTGTTTGTATGTGCTGATGTCAGAGGCATACTTTGAGTTTCCACCATATTTTTCGAGCCAGGGTCTCCTGGAACCTGGAGCTTACCATTTTGGCTAAGCTAGCTGACCCATGACTGCTGGTGGAGCGACTTGCTCTCCACAACCCCTAGCACTGACATTACAGGTACATGCTGCCACACCTACTCAGTTCCTCAAGTCAGCATGGCGTGCTCTTCCCCATCGCTCCAACCCTAGCTAGCTTTATTGTTTTCTTTGATATAATTGGGGTTTTAAGATTTGAGAATATTTAGAGCAAGAAGAAACTTGGATGAATTTCACAGATGCCACATGGTAATTGTTTGATTAGTCCTCATTTCTTTTCAGGGGTGAAGGCCTGTCTGCACAGTAAAGTACGTGAGCAGGAGGAAAAGTATGAAGTTCCTGGAGGTCCACAGAGGAGCAGGCTCAACAGAGAGCAGCTGGTATTTTTCTTTTACATACTCCTGCTTGTTCTCATGGCTTCACATCATTAACACCATCAGAAAAACTTTGCCCTTTCAGCCAGTACAGGCGACTGATTAAAATTTTAATTGTGCTTATTTCAAGCACTTGATTCTGAAAGATGATCACGATGTGTAGTAAAATCCAGAAGGTAATAATTTCACACTGTTAATGGATTTTTGGCATCTTGAACATTCTCATAAAGCTTTCAGAATCTGAAGTAAGTTTCAGATACAGGAAGTATCTTGAAAGAAGACTTAGAACTGCTGCTCGGATTTAGTTACCATATGTTTTTCTTGCCACAGACTGCAGTTTTAATGGGCAATATTCCATTATTGTGTTGATATGTATGTATGTATGTAAATGACAAAGACGTTTTCTAATTAGAACTGTAGACATGACCTCATAATCTCATAATAACTGGCAATAGATCTCTAGAACTAAGGCCACACTCTTACCTGGCTGCCCAGGAGACCTTCAGTAGCATGTAGGGACCTGAATGCAGAGGAACAGAACTGAACTGTCTGTGGGAAAAATTCTGCCCTTACAGTTTAAATCCAGTCTTACGTCACTAAAGCTCACTTTTGATATTGTAGAGCCTGTGAGATTTAAATCCTACCGATGTGGACAACCATCCTGATGGAGGAAATTGAAGAGTTGTGGTTTTGGTTTTGTTTTTAATTTTTGGACAGGGTCTCACTATGTAGTACAGGCTGACCTTGAACTTGCTGTACTCTTTCTTGGCTAGCCTTAGAGCTAGAATTTAAGTGTATACTGCTATGCCTACCTACAGGTTGTTTGTTTTGGGTTTTGTTTTATTTTCACTGCAGAACACATTTGAAATGTTAGGAAAGTAAAAAGGAATCAGTCAACAGCTGAATACTAGATGAAAAAAAATCATAAATAAGAAACTCTTATTTGCATGGCTGGAGAAATGGCTCAGCAGTTAAGACCTGGGCTCAATCCCTGGCACCCACCAGCAGTTCGCAGCTGTCCATAACTCCAGTTCCAGGGGATCTGAAACCCTCATACAGACATGTGAGCAAAACACCACTGCATATAAAATAAGAATAAATAGATCATTAAATTAGAAAAAAAAAGAAACTCGTAGTTTCAAATGTGTGCTTTCTGATCCAGGTAGTGTGATTGAAGTACTGTCTTTGCCAGCACCTCATTAGGATGCTTCTTACTGACTCATGACTATTTTTTTTTAATGTTTTTCATTCATACATAGTGTTTTAAAATACTTTGTTCTGCTTCTAACAGTTGTTTTCTTGCTATTTCAGTTGCCAAAGCTGTTTGATGGATGCTACTTCTTTTTGGGGGGAAACTTCAAACATCATCCAAAGAACGACCTCCTTAAGCTCATTGCTGCCGCAGGAGGCAAGGTGCTCAGTAGAAAGCCCAAGCCAGACAGTGATGTGACTCAGACCATCAACACAGTGGCGTACCATGCCAACCCTGATTCTGACCAGCGCTTCTGCACACAATATATCGTCTATGAAGATCTGTTTAATTGTCGCCCAGAAAGGGTTCGGCAGGGCAAAGTATGGATGGCTCCTTCCACCTGGCTTATCAGCTGTGTAATGGCCTTTGAATTGCTTCCTCTTGACAGCTGAGTGTCATATTGTGAACATTTTAAGTTGAACATGCATGGTTTATGGGAACCCAGCAATTGTGATGTGTTTGATCATTCATATTTTTATCAATAGGTAGAGCCATTTATATTCCCCCCCTTAGAATTGCAAAATAAAACAACTGATGCTAGGTTAGGAATTCATTTAGATGGCAGTATTGCTTTTAAGATTCTTTGTTCTCTTGAGGTTGTAGCTATAACTCAGTGGTAGAGTCTTCATGAACCATGCATGAGTCATGAGGTTCCAGCCTGGGAACTGCAAGGAAGTTTTCATTTTACAACTGGCCTGTGATTTTTGATTGATCATGTCTTTCAGTTTTATCAGTATGTATCACAGATTAATAAGTGAGATGGCACCAGAACTACTTGTTAATATATAAGTGGTCTATTAATTTAGCATCCTTAGTAAATAGTATCATCAGATCTATTCTGCCTTAGTTACAATGACAATAGAATATCTATCAAAGTGTGCCATTATAAAGTTCTATTTGCAGATATCTTTTTCTTACATTGTGTTTTAGTTTCTTATATTTTCTAGGCCTTCATTCATGTTTATTCATTTTTAAATTCTGTGTATACATTAATTAAGAAATCATGATTTGAACCATTGGGTGTTAGTGACAAAGTCATCAGTATCCTTGTGTGTGTGCTTTTATTGTGCACATCTGCTCTCTGTCTACTGTGCATGTGTGCAGACCTCTGTTTTCTGTAACTTAGTTTATTAGTGCTGCTAATCTTGCCAGTTTAGAAAACTATCAAACATCGATTTACTAGATTAGAAGCAATCTGTTTATAGTAAATCTTTCTGGGCATTACTAAAGTAAGCCTCTATAAAGATTAATCCCTTCACCTTACTTTTTTTCTTTCTTCTTTTCCTCTCTTTCTTCTTTCCTTTTATTTATGATACTGGGTATGGAAGTCAAGATCTTGTGCATGCTAGGTAGTTACCTACCACAAAACTATATCCTCAGCCCAGGTTTAATCTTAATCTTAATCTCTCTCTCTCTCTCTCTCTCTCTCTCTCTCTCTCTCTCTCCCTCTCCCTCTCTTCCTCTCCCTCCTGACAGATGAAGGGTTGGGATGGGAGCCTTGCACTTGCCAGGTAACTGAGCTATATTCTCAATACTATTTTTATTTTTAGACTGTTTTATTGAGTTATCCAGGATGGTCTTGAACTCACTCAGTTTTAATTTCTTTATGAAGTTTTTAGGTTGATGAGTAGGCAAAAGTTGGAAATGAATTGATTCATAATATTTTTACCATATCCTGCACAGGGGCCATAATGGTAAATAGGGAAGTATGAGTGAGAAGAACTTCTTCTCAATATGGAAATAACCAAGGCAGAGTAGTAGGAGGGCACTGTGTGCACGTGCGCACAATGTCTGCTTAGCCTGTCTCTCCTGCATGTCCTCATTGTGAATGGACAGGATCTATATTCAGCTTCATCGAGTAGGATAAAGATATTGTGGAGATAGTGTCCCCATAGGGTGGCTTTTCAATATGCCGAGGGGGCTGCTTCAGGAAGGTGGGAGCTGAGCATATGGAGGAGACATCTTTGGCCTCTTTGCTGAACTTGGAGTTAAAGTCACACAGCTGAGCCACCCATTCCCACTCAGTGCCTAGGGATGACTCATTAAATTTTGCCTACAAAGACTTCTGCTGCCCTGTTGTTTGCTGTTGTAGCTGCTCATCCTGTTTCAAATGCCATCCTTCTAGCTCCTTTATTGCTTTTTCTTTCCACATTGCTTCTTGCTTCCGAGAAATGGCTCAAGGGCTTCCGAGCGCTCCGTTTGCTCTTCTCTCCATGTACAGATACTTTCAGTTTCTGATGGCAGTGGATCCACTTCTGAAATAGCTGCACAGCTGTCTATCAGACCATTACTCTCCAGGTCATTTTCACCTTCCTGACTCTAACAACAGCATCTAGAGTTGGTATATGTTGAGCTTTATTACCTTATCTTGTACTTCCTTTTGTACAAATACTTACAATTTGTATTTTCCCTTAATATATTTAAACTTAACTCATCTCACATAAATCATTAAAATTATTTGTGCGTGTATCTGTGTCTTCTGTAAAAATGTCTTACTTCCATATTGAAGAATGAGACTCAACATGACTCCTGAAGACGTCTTCCAGCTGTGGTTTTGTGTGGTTTCATAAAGCACAAGGTGCCTACATTAGTTGCTTTTCTCACTGCTCTTCACATAACAACTTGTGAGAGAAGATTATTCTGTCTTTTGGTTCTGCGTACTGTCCATCCTGGTGAGGAAATCTAGGCAGCAAGAATTTTAACCAGTTGGCACATCCATTGGTAGGAAGCAGAAACAGCAACGCGAATGCTGGTGCTCAATGCATGCTCTCTTTCTCCCCCCTTCCTCCATCCCTTTCTTTTCCCCTCACTCTCCTTATCCAGTTGAAGCCGTCACCCCATAAAGTGATGCCATGACACCCATATTCAAGAAAGGCTTTTCCCCTGCACTTAACCTAACCTGCACTTAGCCTAATTTAGACAGTTCCTCAGAGACATGCCCAGCGGCTTTTCTACTAGATGGTTCTGATTCTGTCAGACTGACAGTGTTAACCATCACAGGTGGCTTTTGGTGCTGGGAAAAGCTGGGATATTTCGGTTTGAATAGTGATGTGGGAGGATTGAAGTTTCTGGGTTATTCTGACTTGGCCAGGCTTAAGATGCAGCCCACAGAGGATCCTATGCAGATTTTGAAGCCAGACTGTCTGGTTTCGTTTGTTTTCTAGTTCGCCTCCCTGAGCCCCAAGGTACAGAGTTAGAGGTATACGTTCCTTTTCATGAATCTGAGCATATAGCAATTCAGGACCACAGTTAGTTGATGGCTCAGAGATACCGCTAAGTGTAGCTTAGGAAAAGGTAGCATTGGTAGCATAACTTGTCACAGACTGGAGTGGACTAGCTATTCTTTCCTTCCCAGTCTGACTGCTAGCAGCCCTGTGTTACTGGAGTAAATTTTAACAAGAAGAACCTGGCGTGTCTGGTTAATTTCTTGTCTCAACTTTATCCCATCCGCTTTGACAACTGTTTCCATCTATATTATTTTCTACCCATTCCTAAAGTTCTGCTGATCTTTCATCCTAAATGTGAGCATTGTTGATCTCCAAACTGCTTAGGCTTCTATGCTGCAGTGATGGACCATAGGATGGCCTGGCTTATTCGTTTTGGGCATGTTGCCACAAATTTTCTTAGCTGAACCCCCAGATACCCTTGGATAACTTCACTTCATACATCCATTGAAGAAAAGAAGCTGAAGAGGGACTTGTTTCTAACTAGTTCATACTTTGAGACACATTGAGTGGGTGTTGGAGGGACGACTATTCATTTGCCTGCTGGCTAAAGTGATGTGACCTAGGTGATTTGATGTGACTAGAATCTGAAGGTCTTTTTCTGAGTTTATCAGAAACTGTTCGTAAGGTTAGATAATTACTGTTGAAATTTTGAAAAGAAAAATACAATTGGGGTAGATAGATGGTTCGTGAGTTAAGAGCCCTTGACTGCTCTTGCATGGAACCTGGGAACAATTCCCAGCACACAACTGAAGTTTACAACTGCTTGTAACTGCAGTCCGACAGGACCCTATGCCTTCTGGCCTCCACAGGCATTGTACACACTACACTCATGGTACACAGATATATGTTCAGATAAACATCTATAAAAATAAATACTTTTTAAAATTTAAGGAAAAAAATGATCCCATATCTAGGATTCATAAACTAAGTTTTATGTAACTTTCTATGGTGCTAAAAATAACCTGACTCTGTTGAAAGGGCTGTCTATGTACATAGTCTACTCATCACAGTCCTGGCCACTCTACTGGAATTCTTTTTAGATCTGGAAATAACAGAGTTGGCCCATTCCTTAGCAGTAACAATTGCTACACCTACTCTTCTCTCTTCTTTAAGCATACATATGCTCTGGCCTAATACCTCTGGGGGTTTGTCCCAGGAACTCTCTTATCTGAAATCTACAGGTGGTTAAGTGCATTATAGAAAATGACATAGTGATGTAATGTTTGTATTTAGCTTGTGTAAGCTCCTGTATGCTATGCACTGTCTTCAGACTAGCTACCATGCCAATACAGTGCAAGTACCATGAAAATACTATTTAGGGAATGATGGCAGGAGGGAAGAAAAAGCATGAATAGAGCAGATGGAATATTTTTTCTAAGTGTTTTAATCTGTTTAGATAAAAATGGAACTCAAAAATAGAAAACTTACAATAGCCTTCATAATTACGGGATTAATCTTGTATACAGATTTATTTCCTATATTATCACATACATGATTTCATGTGGTTACAACTCCCTTCCAATAGGCTGTATCAGTATTTAATCTGGTCTCTTACTGGCTATCTTGACTGTTTCTTTACAAATTATTTAAAAATAATTTTTGTAATCAATTTTTATGGAGAAAGTATTTTCCATCTGTCACAGAAAGTCAGTGTCTGCCATTTTTACAGAGCACACTACACATACTTTACATTTAAACTAGGTCCTGAAGTTAGGCTTAAAATATCAAAATTAGAAAATGAACCTGATTGCTATAATATTGCTAGTTAATTAGATTTGGGGTGTAAGGTACAAGACATTATAGCTTTTCCAGGTTACAGACATAGGCATGGGTTCAGCCTTTTAGTAGGAATTTGAGATGACCTTGCTTGTATAGAACATGGGTTGAAGTTACAGGCATGGGAACCAGAGGCTTGCCCTAAGTCTTGGCACTCACTAGGGGCAGGGTCTGCACAGCTGTCTATTAAAGCAGCATTTGCTGTAGCCTGCCATGTCCTCCTGTGGACTTACTGGGCTGGGAAAATGAGATGGTATTCCGTATTTGTATAGCCACCTCTTTACCTCAGCAGACATTAGTCACCATGCTTTCGTTTTGAGACCAAACTGATCCTAACATCTCTCAACTCTTCCTTTATATATCTACAGCTAATTGGTCAAATTGGTTTATTAGCTGAAACTTGTTGGTGGAGGTTTCTGTCCCACGTAGTCCTGCAATAAACACACAGAAACCATATTATTTGCAATACTACTTGGTCAAATAGCTTAAGCACATTTTTAGGTAGCTCTTATATCTTAAGCTAGCCCATTTCTATTAATCTGTGTATCACCACAGATGGCTGTGGCTTACCCACAAGGTTCTGGTGCATCTGTCACCTGCGGGTGACTACATGGCTCCTCCTCCCTGACTCCACCTGTTTTCTCTTATCGTTCATCCTGACTTTACTCTGTTAAGCCATGGGCTGAAAGCAGCGTATTTATTAACCAACAGCAATAAAGCATATTCATAGCATACATCACCTCCCCTTTCCTGTAAAAGAAAGGTTTTAACTTTAACATAGCAAGATTACTTATAACAAAATAGGTATCAAGCAAGAATTATAGTTATAATATTTATATCTACTTTATCTTTTATCATAACTAAGGAAAACTATAATCATAACTATCTATTCAACTCCATCAAAGACCCCAGAAGGATATACTATTACCTAAGTTAACAGGAAGTACATTATAAGCAACTTCCAAAACTAAAATTGACAGAGATATCTTGCTGCCTGGACAGTCACCCAAAGTTCTTCTGTAACATTAGGGCATCCAATCTTCAGCCTACAGGCCCATAGTATCTGGTAGACTTTTTCATGAAGCAGGAAATTTCAAAGACAGTTCCACCTATATTGGCAGTTTGTCAGTCACTTTCTTCTGTGTGCTACAAATGTCAAGTAGACTCATGAAGCAGGAACCTCAAAGGACCTTCTTAGGCAACTTCATCAGTCATTTTCCTATGGGTCCTGCAAATCAGTTAAGCAGTTCAGGCAAGAGCAATTTCTTGCCCAAATGGCTAACAAATTCCATGAGGAGCCTCTTTGATGCTCATCTTCCTCTTGAAGTAATTGGTGCTGCCAGGAGCAGATGTGTCTCACTGTCTAAGTTCTTAAAACATTTTAAATGCCATATTCTGTTATCTTTGAGAGGTTTGAAGAATACCCATCTGAAATACATTTCTGCACATCTAGACAACCTAACGTGCCTACAAGCTTGATTATTATAGATGTATTAACCTATATTTCTTAATTATACATTGCAATTTTAAATGAGCTGCATGAAAACAATACCTTAATCAAGAGCAAAATACATATACACAAAATTGACCTTAAAATTTGTATCAATAAACCAAGAACCATACCAATGCAAAGTATCCATCTCTGTAGCATATCTCCCTTTAAATGTAAACAAACATTTATAAACAATATTTGGGAATAGTTCTCTTCATATTACTTTCTGCTGTTTATTGGGCAAAATAATTTTTGGGGTGTTCATGGAGACCTTTCGGATAGTCTTGATCCATCAAACCATATTAGTCTGGAGGGAATCCACAGGTTCTCATCTGTGGAAACAAAAGCAGAACCTCTTTTCCAAAGCAACATAATTTTAGGGCCAAATTTTGATGTCAAAATACCTTTAAAATATGTATGTTGGCCAGGCGGTGGTGGCGCATGCTTTTAATCCCAGCACTTGGGAGGCAGAGACAGATGGATCTCTGGGAGTTCGAGGCCAGCCTGGTCTACAAGAGCTAGTTGTGGAACAGGCTCCAAAGCCACAGAGCAACCATGTCTCAAAAAACCAAACCACTTAGCAGCCCATACAACAAAATGTCTCTCAGTATTTAGCTCCTTCACAGTCAAAAAATCCAAAGAAAACACATAATCCAGACTCTGTGAATATTCCATCTTTATGTGGCTTATCTTTCTTACTCTTACTTTTTCTACAACTTTACTGTCTTTTTAAAGACTTTGTTTTATTTTTTAAAAACCATTTACTCTTTACAACTCAATATTCGTTTTCTTCTCTCTCCCAAACCTACAGACATTTTTAAAACACACTGTGACCCTTTCAGAGGTCTTTTTCATCTGAATTTGGCTTTATTTTGTACCAGTAATCTTTTTCTGACCAGGGCCGCTTCTTTTTTTTGTTTGTTTGTTTAAGTAAATTTTATTAAATTATAAAAGTTTCCATTTCCGCCCCTCTT